AAGAATTTACAACTAAGTCACATCATATCAATACGCCACAATTCAATCAATAATTAAATACACACACATCAATCATCATATCAATTCAATAAATATATAATCACAAAATAAAATCTAACTAAAATGAGACAATTAATCTAAACATTCAATTAAATAAAATAAATCATTTAAAAATAAAATAAAATTCATTAATCCCAATTAATAAATCCTTTAAATTATCAGGGTATTACAATCCAAGAATGGTAGAAATTCACAAGGTAGGAAGAGTGTTGGCTTACATCAAGTCGACCATTCAAATGAAATAGCCGCCGAAATGAAGTCTTTATCTCAAAGGTTTGATTAACCAAAACTCGGCAAACCAAGTATCTTCCTTTCCCAACCATTCTCATTGTCCTCACGGACAAGTGCAAAGTGAACCTAATGAACAAGTCAATGCGGTTTTTGTGAACCAAGAGAACAATCCTTGTGGTGCTCATTATAATCCAAGTTGGAGGAATCATCGGAATTTCTCTTGAAAAAACCAAGGAGAGGGCTCAATCCCAAGGCGGTTTTTAAGGGAAGTACATTCCACCTTTACTTCAAAACCAAGGATCCCAAGGTTATAAACCTTATCAATTATAAGGGAATCAATTTGCTAATTCTCATTTTCCCAACCAAACCTATTCCCAAGGTAATACTAGAAGTCCCGCCTTTGAAGAGAAAGTTTTGAATTCTTTGGATACTTTAGAGGCTAACACTCAATTACTTCATTCTCACTCTTAATCTATTGCAAAGCTAGAAACCAAAGTAGGGCAAATAACAAGCACTCTCAATGCAAGAGAGAAGGGAAAGATGCCTATAAATGCCCTACCTAAACAACAATGTGTTGTGGAAACCCATTCCTCATCGGAAGGCCACACCATTGAATATGTTAATGCGGTGACTACCTTGCAGAGTGGTAGGATTGTGGACAATCAAGTTGGAATGTCTAATGAAGAGAGTGAACCGGTGCAACCTCAAGTTGTCACCCGTCCCGTTTCACATCCCATTCCTCTTTCATTGCATATATATGATCTTATAAATGAGAAAGTTTTAAAAGATGTGTTTGGAAAAGAAGTTTTGAAAAATGATGTTAAAAGGTTTTATTGAAAAATGATTTGAAAACTTCTTGTGTTGAAGAGAGTTCAAAAGAAAATTTTGAAAAAGTGTTTGAACCAAAAGTTTCATTTCTGGATGCCTTAAAAGGATTTATTTCAAAAGACAAACAAAAGGCAAAAACCAATGAAATCATGGAAATGTTTAGGCAAGTGAAAGTTAATCTTCCACTATTGGATGCAATCAAGCAAATTCCGGCTTTTGCCAAATTCTTGAAAGACATGTACACCCAAAAGCGGAAGAACAAGAGCCAAGCACCAAGAAAAGTGGTTTTGACCAAGCAAGTAAGCTCATTTTTACAACATAACACTCTTCCAAAGTTTAAGGACCCCGGTTCACCCACTACATCATGCATTATTGGTGATCATATCATTAATCGGGCACTTCTTGACTTAGGAGCAAGTGTTAACCTTCTTCCATACTCGGTTTATGTCAAATTGGGCTTAGGAGAATTGAAACCGACGTCGGTAGTTTTGCAACTTGCCGACCGATCCATTAAGAAGCCTAGGGTATAATTGAGGGTGTTTTGATAAAGATTGACAAATTCTTTTTCCTGGTTGATTTCGTTGTCATAGACACGGAACCGGTTCCCAATCATAAGAGCGAAATTCCCGTTATCCTTGGTCGTCCTTTCTTAACAACTGCTAATGCCAACATCAATTGTAAGACGAGGATAAAATGACAGAAATTTGTGTGTTTTACTATGAGAGTACGTAAGAACTCGGGCCAGTGAATACAATAAAATATTTGAACAATAATGCTAATACGAGTACATAATAATGACACGACATGCCAAGTATTTTAGAATAAGAAAATGTGATAACTCCATTATGTTAATACCATATAATAATAATTGAACAATGTAAATATTACATATATAATGAACTGTCAGATGTGAATGATACTATATTAAGGATTCGGATTTTCTCCTTGACGAGGGAATCTTGCCCACGTGACATTTCCGCACGGCTCTATGTTAAATTTTAACTTTTAACGGCACATTAATGAATATAGTAACACTTAACAATCAAAATTTCATGAATAAAATTCAATAACCACTGATGAACTGGACTTATCTTGTAGTGTGTGTATATATATATATATATATTTATTTATTTATATTTATATACTGGAATTATCTATTTTTATTTTAATAATTAAGAGTTTTGTCTTGGTTTAATAAGTTCACATGTGAATACAAAGATTTGCTGTCTCATTTTTTGAGATCCACCTGGGCGAAAAAAAAAAAGTGAGATGTGGAATATGAGTGCATGGGTCGATTTATCTTTTATTGTTTTATAATACCGCTAATACATAAAGACAGACATGTCTTTTGTTAATACAGTATAATAATAATTGAACAATGTAGCCCACATGCCGTTACCGCGCAATGTGGATCATGTCAAGTTTTAGGATACAAATTAAAAATAACACACATTAATGAATAGTAAATTTTTTAAATTTTAAATGTGTATCTTACATGCATATTTATTTGAGTATCCACAATATAATATTAAGAAAATCAAGTGATATGATTAACTATTGATTAATTCTTTTTGAAAGTTGTAACTATTAATTAATTAGATCACAAATATATACAGTAAATAAAAATAATATATATATATATATATATATATATATATATATATATATATATGTGGGTTAGCATTAGCAAGGTAGGTGAATCCCTTTTGAGCATGGTGGTGGGTTAACATTAACAAGGTATGTGAATCCCTTATCAGCACAAAGAGGATTCTCTCCGTCTCAAAATATATATCCACTTTGAAATGAATAAAATTTATTGACCAACTAACTAATATGACCCGGTTATTAATTAATAATGAAAAAAATAGAAATGAATGTATATATTTTTGAACAGGGTATTTTTTTAAACTCATAATTGCTGAGTCCATTGGCTCTATATACCCATGCCATCTCCCTTTTTTATTTCAAGACGGCTCTTCCTTCTTTTCCTAGTAGCTAACTAATTTTTTAAAATGATTAATTTATTATTAAAATTTTATTATTTATAATAAAAAAATTTATACTCACTAAACTTTTTTACCATAAAAATACCATCTTCTTCATGCATTATATTCATAAAAAATAAATAAATTACTTAAATAAAAAATACATTTTTTTATGCAATATATTCATTAAAAATTAAGAAATCACTTAAATTGTAATAAAAATTTCCACTTAAGAATTTTATTTAAAAATTGATTAAAAAAATTAAAGGTAAATTTTATGAAAATTTAATAAAGAATATGTCATCAAATTAGTATAATTTTTTTTATATAGTTTATTTTAATAAGAAAAATAGATTAAGTGTAATTTAATTAGAAATGGCATTATGGTCATTTAATAAAATATAGTCAAGATATTGGGACATTTTGCAGCTAAATGTGATAGTTCAGAAAGTTTTATGCACAAAATATACTTTAAAAAAATTATTTGTAAATTCAAAAATCGTTTAGAGGAATTTTTTTACACTTTACCCAACAATAATTGAATAATATCGCTAATACATAATAACATAAACATTTGAGTGTGTTTTACAACTAGAATGAAAAAATTTAATAACTTTGCTAACTCTGTGATTAATAGTTGAACAATTTCCCAAGCACCCCAACAATTTTAGGATTACACCCTCTGTCCTGTAATAGTGTCCCATAATATGTGCTCTTTTTGGACGTAGAACTTTCTAAGATGATATATAATAATTGCATTATCACCTTTGAAAATTACTAAGTTGCTTGATCTTTCAAATTTCTATACATATATATATATATATATATATGCAATTTGATTTTCAAACTTGCCACTCATGCAAAAGTTTTGATTCTACATATATTTGCCATGCTTCTCAGGTTTTGTAAAAATTAGGTAACAAGACAAAATATCATCTCATTATTTTGTGTATATGAAGAAAGAAAATAGAAAGAAGAAAAAGAAATTTAAACTCAATGACTAAAACGATTGAAAAAAATCTAATAATTAAGCCACATTAGCATTTCAAGGTTTCAAATCGTCAAGTCACTTTCATATCACACTAATGTCTCCCTATAATATTTAATTACTAAAATATGTCTTAACTTTTATCTTTTTTTTCTCTTTTAGTATTCAAATTCATCTCCACCACTAGTTTGGTTTGGATGAAACTAGTGGTGGAAAGTGAATGTAAAAGATAGCGAAGTAAAAGAAAATTAAGTTTTTAACGCCAATTTGGTTAGCATGAAAATTTTGCACGAAAATTTTGTAAAATTATTATTTTATGATTTGAATTGCATGTAACTTATCAAAAAAAAAAAAAACCAGGATAATAACATAAGTTTACAAAACTTTCTCAATAAATCAAAATTTTCTTAAAATGAAATCTAATGGTTTTGTCATTGCATATGAATGATATATACAAATATTAAAACTCCACAATCCACATTATGAAACATACAACTTTATATACATATCTTGATATACTAACCAGTAACCACTAAATTTTTTATCCAAATTTTGTTTTCGCCTGAGATCTGTTGTAACCTGATTTTGATCCGATTATTAGGCTTTGCCTCTCGGAAAAAAAATTTTGGCCCATTTTTGTCTTGTGGCTTGTGGACCCGGATTCTAGTCTCTATTTTAACTAGGTTTTGTAGTGTGGCAGGAGAAAACATTGAAAGACAAAATTGAGTTTGGGATAGACAAACTATTGTGGAACTAAAAACTTGTAATCTCTATTTATTTGCATATGAAATCTTTTTGTTGATCTTCATTGTGAACGCTACGGTTTTTTTTGTCATTTTTCTATATTATTTTTATCCATCGCTTTGTCACAATATCTAAGTTTATTCTTTTTTATTGAAATATTACAGGTGAAATTAAACTATCCAACCGAGTATCTCGTTTCAATATCGGGTTACTGTGGATACTATAAAAATAGTTATCTTGTTGTGAAATCTATTACAGTACAAAGCAATATAAAGCAATACGGACCATATGGAAAAGAAGAAGGAAGTCGTTTTATAACCCCGTTAACTGCTGGCAAGATTGTTGGATTCTTTGGAAGGGTGGGTGAACGTATGGATAATATTGGAGTACACATTAAGCCATTCCAAATTACAATACCTAGTGTTGGTCTGTTTGGAACTACCAGTGGAAAACAGTGGGAAGACAAAATCTATAGCACGATAAGGGAAATAATTATACACTCCGGATGGCTAATTGATTCCATCCAAGTTGTCTATGATATTGAAGGAAGAGCACTATTGGGCGAAAAGCATGGTACTGATGGCGGACAAGAAACTAAGGTAATATATATATATATGTGTGTGTGTGTGTGTGTGTGTACATTTATAATAATTTTTAAATTTGTGACTCATATATACACAAATTCATTTGATTTTATATTTGTCATGCCTCTCATGTTTTTTAAAAACTAGCTAGCTAGAGAACAAAACATCTAAAAAGATACATATATATATTGGCCATCCTAGTGGTCCACCAAGCATGGTAGTGAATCTGGCACAAAAGTTGAAGTTTGTTATAATTTGCCATTTAATACATAAAAATAATAATAATAACAACAAAAATCTCTTTTTTTTGTTGAAGGTTTTAATGCTCATGCTTTCATTTGTGCAAATATGAATGCCATGCCTGCTTACACATACTTTTCTTTACCAATACAACTTATGTAGGTCACATTAGACTCGGATGAATATTTGATTACAATTTCGGGGTCCTTTGGAGAAGTAGATAAGAAGATTGTTATCCGGTCCCTTGGATTTCAAAGCAACAAAAGAATGATTGGACCATTTGGCACGGAAGAAGGAGAGAAATTTCGATCCATATCAAGTACTTGTGACAAGATCATCGGATTCCATGGAAGGTCTGACAAATATCTTACTTCAATTGGAGCATATCTCGGCAAGTGAGGATAAATTTTTCACAATGACCATGAGCTTTAGTACTCTTTTAATCATTAATAATAATGACATTTGCATTGATAATAATGGATGTTATGTGTTGTCCTTAAAACTTAGTGAAAGTGGTTAAGGCAACACAAACTTGTGTCTGTGTGTTTGATTTCAAGTAATTTTCATGTTTTCTTGTGTGTTTGAGCCTGAAAGCTTGGGTTTGTTATGTATTTTGTAAAACTATGCAATTCAGTGATGAGATGCCAAATGTTATATCTGGTGTTCATTATAATAAATTGGGTGTCTTACTTGCAATTGAATAATCTTTTTGGTTGTAAAAAAATTTATGTTCTATGTTAGGAAACTCCGTCCAACTAGCTTTGATGCCCGTTATTGTAAATTAAATCCCTTTGCATTCAAGCACAACGAAAGAATATCATCACATCACATCACATCATGCTATATCAGTGAAGCACAATACACAATATTTATGTAGTTCACCTAAAACTAGAGCCACGGAGATAATTTTCACTACTATGAATCAAGAAGAGAATTGACAACTGTAGAGAAACCTAATGATCAGAAAGATCTTCCTCCACAAATGTACAGCCTCTTGGAAATAACATCTTTTATTTAAGAAACTATATCCGCAACTCATTAGGCAAATGCAATCGGTCCCAAATAATGTGACCCTTCAGACTTTTCTAGCATCTTCAGAACTCCGAACCAAGAAAGTGAGACCAGTTGAACTTTTTCAGAACAACTTATATCCTTCAGGAATTTGAAACGCATCCTAACACTCTTTTGTTTAAATATATGGTTTGATAAAATCATCATATGACATTGGATTTATTTTGTAGATGGATAATTTGTGTAGAAAAATTGTGCTTCATCCAAGATTCAAAACTCTGTTTTTAGCTTTAGAACATCGATCATACCTCAAAGAGGAAAATATATATATAATATTTTTTTTTGAATAATTCATGTCTTTTACATAAAGTTGTAAACAAAATTTTCGAAGAAAAATTGTAAATAACAGAGAAAACTAGCTACCACTGTTACAAGGTTACTATAACAAATTTAAAAGCTTTAGCATATGGAGACATAAATGCCTTAGTTGTTATTAATAAAAATATTTTTATTCTATTAGCAAACAAATTATTAATAAAAATTTATTTGATGTGTTTGAGTTGGCAATCAGACTGTCCATAATTTTACAATTTTTTAATAAAAAAATCTGGCTACAATTTGGTGCCAAAATGTTCCTTACGTTGATTTATGATATTTAACTTTATTTTATTTTTATAGTGAGATTAGCACTTTTTTATTTTTGTTTTATTATACTCTACTTGTTTTATCTTTTAATTGTTAATTGTATAAAACCTTTAAAAAGTCATAAAATGATTTTCATGGTACTTTTTTAGACTAAAGTTTTAGCGTTTATCACCTTAAAATATATATAAGGTGATGAAAATTATACTTTTTTGTTTTATTATACCCTACTCCATGCCACTGATGAAAATTCGCAAACCTACGTCCGAAGAACCATAACATGGAGTGAAGTCACCTTCCCCGAAGAATGGACTCTTGAGCATATAGTTCCTCCTTCAAAGATTGATAAATAAAAAGTTGAAACAAATCTGTTGAATTAACCAAACACACACACACACACCAATATTGTAACACACCATTTGCCCTCATTAATCACTTGTCAATGATATAGAAATGCATTGCTTGGTGGTGATCTCTAAACCCCAAGATCTCTCTCTCTTACTTACTCTTAATTGCATTCTTTTGCTATCATTTAATTTAATTTAGTTACTCTTTAATCAACCAACCAACCAATTGTTTGATCACTCGACCTACTAGCCCTAATTGTGATTCCACGACATTGCTCGATCCCCACAATCCCTTGGGATGATCCCTACTCACTTTTGTTATGTTAGTAGTAGTGTTGGTAGTGATTTTTATAAATTTAAATTTGACGTAAAAAGCGTTTCTTGAACCGCACATTCACTACATTAATTTTGGCGTACAAGGAACGCCCGTCATCAAATTTTGGCGCCGTTACCGGGGATTAACGGTTAGATTTGGCAACGTCGAATTTGTGGAATTGATTAAGATTAGTACTCTTTTGATCGTGTCTTTACTTTATTTATTTATTTGGTTACTTATTGTGTTGATTACTTAACTAGGTGCATTGTTGAAGAGGAAGCAAGCAAAGGAGCCATCAAGCATTCAATTCAAGCAAGCAAAGAAAGCAAAAAGCTAAAAAATTTAAAATTGTTAAGCTAAGCTTTAAATTTGGAGTTGAAGTGCTAAATGACCTTTGTGAGATTTTCTTTACTCAATCCCTTAGTTGAAGTATGGGAGTATGAATTAAATGTTTGTGAAAGAAGTCTAATTGCATTGTTGTGAAGGCATAGTGTTTGTTATTCTTTGTATTTGTTGTGTTTCGCATTGTGCATGCATGGACGTCGTTCATTGAGACCAACTCTTGTCCCTCTTGATTTATATCTAGAATCTATCATTAGAAATCCTAGGGGAAGAGGAAGTTCAAATAGAGCAAATCTTTCAATGGATGACCATAATGATCATCTTGTTGAGGACCTTGGTCACATAGACCAACAAGGTATCCTTCATCCCAATGTGCACAATGAGAACATACAAGAACTATTAGGCATGCCTAGGCCATTCATTCACCAACCACCACAACAACAAGGCCAAGTTCCATATGGAATGCCAAGGCCAATGTATGCTCCACAACCTCCCATCAACAGTCAAGGAATTCAAAACCAAGGTGTTCATGTTGCACCTCAAGTAGCTAATCTACCTCTTGCCTTAAGAGACCATTATGTGCCTAATGAGTATAATACACCTACATGCATCTAATTGCCTCCATTTATAGCACATCATTATAAAATTAAGCCACAAACCATTCAAATGCTTCCTAACTATCATGGACTTCCAAGTGAAGAACCTTACAAGCATTTGGATGAGTTTCTTGAAGTATGTTCCACCGTAAAATATACAGACATGCCGGAAGAGGTTTTAAGACTCAAACTTTTTCCATTCATCTTAAAAGACAAGGCAAAGTATTGGTTTAACAATCTTAGGCCTTTTTCAATTACTTCTTGGGCAGAAATGCAACAAGAGTTCTTGAAGAAGTACTATCCGGTTTCTAAGACCAATGCCATGAGGACCTCAATTCGAGAATTTTCGTATGGGGATGGAGAAACGTTTCATTAGGCATGGGAACACTTCAATGAATTGCTTAGGAAGTATCCACATCATGATATATCCAAATGGCAATTAGTTCAATACTTCTTTGAGAGCTTATGGGACAACTATAAGGGCATGGTTGATGCTTCCATGGGTGGCTCATACATTGATAGGCATGAGGATGACGTGTGGTGTCTCTATGAGAGCATGAGTGAAAATTCTTTGCATAGAACACTATCACCCAAGAATGGTAGAAATTCACAAGGTAGGAAGAGTGTTGGCTTACATCAAGTCGACCATTCAAATGAAATAGCCGCCGAAATGAAGTCTTTATCTCAAAGGTTTGATTAACCAAAACTCGGCAAACCAAGTATCTTCCTTTCCCAACCATTCTCATTGTCCTCACGGACAAGTGCAAAGTGAACCTAATGAACAAGTCAATGCGGTTTTTGTGAACCAAGGGACCAATCCTTGTGGTGCTCATTATAATCCAAGTTGGAGGAATCATCCGAATTTCTCTTAGAAAAACCAAGGAGAGGGCTCAATCCCAAGGCAGTTTTTAAGGGAAGTACATTCCACCTCTACTTCAAAACCAAGGATCCCAAGGTTATAAACCTTATCAATCATAAGGGAATCAATTTGCTAATTCTGATTTTCCCAACCAAACCTATTCCCAAGGTAATACTAGAAGTCCCGCCTTTGAAGAGAAAGTTTTGAATTCTTTGGACACTTTAGAGGCTAACACTCAATTACTTCATTCTCACTCTTAATCTATTGCAAAGCTAGAAACCAAAGTAGGGCAAATAACAAGCACTCTCAATGCAAGAGAGAAGGGAAAGATGCCTATAAATGCCCTACCTAAGCAACAATGTGTTGTGGAAACCCATTCCTCATCGGAAGGCCACACCATTGAATATGTTAATGCGGTGACTACCTTGCAGAGTGGTAGGATTGTGGACAATCAAGTTGGAATGTCTAATGAAGAGAGTGAACCGGTGCAACCTCAAGTTGTCACCCGTCCCGTTTCACATCCCATTCCTCTTTCATTGCATATACATGATCTTATAAATGAGAAAGTTTTAAAAGATGTGTTTGGAAAAGAAGTTTTGAAAAATGATGTTAAAAGGTTTTATTGAAAAATGATTTGAAAACTTCTTGTGTTTAAGAGAGTTCAAAAGAAAATTTTGAAAAAGTGTTTGAACCAAAGGTTCCATTTCTGGATGCCTTAAAAGGATCTATTTCAAAAGACAAACAAAAGGCAAAAACCAATGAAATCATGGAAATGTTTAGGCAAGTGAAAGTTAATCTTCCACTATTGGATGCAATCAAGCAAATTCTGGCTTTTGCCAAATTCTTGAAAGACTTGTACACCCAAAAGCGGAAGAACAAGAGCCAAGCACCAAGAAAAGTGGTTTTGACGGCGCAAGTAAGCTCATTTTTACAACATAACACTCTTCCAAAGTTTAAGGACCCTGGTTCACCCACTACATCATGCATTATTGGTGATCATATCATTAATCGGGCACTTCTTGACTTAGGAGCAAGTGTTAACCTTCTTCCATACTCGGTTTATGTCAAATTGGGCTTAGGAGAGTTGAAACCGACGTCGGTAGTTTTGCAACTTGCCGACCGATCCATTAAGAAGCCTAGGGTATAATTGAGGATGTTTTGATAAAGATTGGCAAATTCTTCTTCCCGGTTGATTTCGTTGTCATAGACACAGAACCGGTTCCCAATCATAAGAGCCAAATTCCCGTTATCCTTGGCCGTCCTTTCTTAACAACCGCTAATGCCAA